GATATTGTCGGCAACTGTCAGTGGTTGAGCCAATATATAATAAAGATGCGAAAACAGCATGCTTTAAGAGGGCGTAACAATTAAAGAGACTAGACAGCTTTAAGAATGCCAACTGAAGTAGACTGCTGATTGCGCACACATAAATTAGATAAGAGGCGTGAAGACAGCCCCAATGGGGAATAGACTAGACGTGAGGTTAGACTAGACGGGCGAGTATGCTGGAAGGGAGGGGGAAGACCAAACGAGAATGCAGACAAAAGACTTGAGAGAATATGAAACTATCTTAAAGGGAGGACAAGCAAACTGGTGAAAAGTGACAAAAGATTTATAGAGACAGTCGGAGAGAGACAGAGAGAGAGAATTCGAGAGAGAGAGAGGGAGGAAGGAAGAAGATTCGACGAGTCTAGCAGCGAATTCATGGAGGAATTTAATAAGTTACCAGACGAGAGACCAAATTCTGAGATTAAGTTCATATAAGAAGCTGTATGAGAAACTGAAACAGAGATGAGAAGCTATATAAAATAATAAAAAATAAATTTGCAGGGTGAAAAGTTTCAGCAAAGAAGAGTATATACAAGAGAGTAAATACAAGGTACTAAACATTATTAGAAATTTAAACCTTTATTATAAATACGTGTATAAATCTTAACCTATGAAATGTCATACTTCCTAATGAATAAAGAATAAAGTAATTGATTGAACAAGTTTGTAATATGCATTACAACAAAAACATTCAAGCAATTTAGGTTATTTACCATTCCCTATATATTCTCTATTCTCCGCTGAGCGTTACTTGTAAAAGTTTCTAAACTGCAGTCAAACAGTATTTAAAGCTATCTCATCCTGAATCAAGAGGGGGATGAGAAGTAAGAAAAAAAAAAGCTGCGCACAAGTTGGCAGCGCTTGACCTCAACTGTTGCCAGATTTGGCAATTTGTCTGCAGCTGAAATTGCAGTTGGTGACATTGCGCATACGCCCCAACGTACACAAATGCAATTTGCCAGCCACACTCGATGCTGCATTTTTCCATCTGTCTCTGTCTCTGTGTTCCCCACTCGCGCTGCGGAACTAACAACGGAAATTGTAAGGAAATGAGCATGGCTTAAGTTTCTCTCTGTTGGCTCTAGCACGCGTCCACTGCTGTTCCTGCTTCGGCTCCTGCTCCTCCAACCAACTTTTGGTGTTTGTCTACTCGTCTAATAGCGAGGACCTTTTCTGCTCTACTTGTGTTGGTCCGTGCCCGTATAGAGCTGAAGCCGCTTAACTCGATTTCATGCCAAACTGCAACTCGTCCAATCGTCAGTCTGTCCGTCCGTCTATCTATCGTTTACTTCTGCGCTATTTTAAGCTGTCGCTTTGAAAGCACATAATTTATTTATGCAGTGCATTGCGTAGTCTCTAAGTAAACCGCCTTGACCCACTAATTGGCCGCCTCGTCGCAGCCAATAGCAACAAACAACTCGCCCAGTCGCCAATAGTTTTATTCTGCTTTTTTCTTTTTATATTTTTTCTTCTATTCTTGTTTCGCATTTTCTTGCTGCGCCTATTGATAAAATCGCGTTGACTCAGTTCATTTATTCGCCAGACAGGTGTGTGCAGCCATTGAGAAATACATTCTTTTCACTTTACGTAAACGCACTTATATAGTATAAGACTATATGTTTCAAATATTAATATAATATTGCTTTGTTTTAAATGACATTAATAAAATATTATTATTATATTTTGATTTAAGTGACTTTAATTAAATATTAAATAATTAATAACATACATGTAAATAAATAATGAATATTAATATTTCTGTATTTTCCTAATTAATTTTAATTTTCTCATTAATATTTTCAACTCGAAGAATTTTTCCATATTATTACATTCCCAAAAATATTTAAATATTATTTTTATAATTAATGCATACATTTATCTGCATACATTTAATGCATACATTTATCTTCACTTTCCCAGTTAGTTTTTCGTCTTATTAATAATTGCAACTTCAAGAATTTCCTCACTTTGTCCTTAACTTTCATGAAAATGGAATCACTTCTTGAAGCTTGCATAAATCTTAGTCAAATACTTTCAGCGCAAGTTTTGAGTGCATGCTACACACTCTCAGCTACTCGCCGCAGTCAACATATATTTTGCACTCACTGTTGCAACCCCCGGCAGCTGCTGGCTTAACCGCTCCAGGATGCCAGCGTGAAGTTCATTGAAAAGCTCTAGCTACATAAATATTTATAAGTTTGAGTCAAATATGCGTAATTATGTAAATTGCGCATTGAGCTACAGTTATTGTTGTGTGGGCGCAGCTCTGCCTCAGCTACGCCTCTTTCCCCCCTCATCTGCCCCTTTGATTCTACAGCAGCTAAGTATTCTCGTTTGGCTGTTGAAAAGTTGCCCGCAACATTTTATTTGTCGTAATTTTGGAAATTAATTTTTGCCCCGGCTGACGACGCAGGCACAGGAGCAACAGCAGCAACAGTTGTTGTTGTTGTTGTTGCAGTTGTTGCCTGTTTGCTGCGAATCAACACACGCACACACACACCCTCGCGCTCTCTCCCTCTCCCTCTCTCACTCACTCTCTTTTTGTATACCTACACAGTTTGTGTTTTTGAGCCGAACTTTTTCAATTAAGTTCATTAATATTCAACTTGGCCTGCGGCCAGAAAGCGACGAATAAATAAATATTAAAATCAAAATTACAAACTAATAAAGGCTGCCGTCTGGCACCTCCTAGCCAATCTCCTGTCGAGTTTTTTGCTGTCACATTTGATTTTAGCCCATTTAGCCAACTGCCAATTGCCAACTGCAAATTGCCAATTGACAATTGTCACTTGACTGTTAAATGCTTCTGGCCATGTTCTGCACTAAGTGCTATAGCAAATATTCAACCAAGCAGTTAGCTATCTTTCCAGCCCCGCTACCTCCTCCCTACCCCGCCCACATGGCTGCATAGTTTATGCATAATAGAAATATGTAAATTGCTTTGTTTTTGCATTTCTTGACAGCAAGAAAAACTTTTCAAGTATTTAATATTGCGTTCGTGCAGAAATAACGGATAATGCGATTAAGTCATCGTAGAGAGAATGAGGGAATCAGTGGGTGGCAGGGTGTTAGCGAGAGGGTGAGCTCGGGGTAGCCAATTTTCTGAGAAATTTCAAATTAATTGGAGCATTTAGAGCATGAAGAGCTCTGCTCAGCTTGTGACAAATATAACTATATTAATATAATCTAAAACACAATTAATTAAACAGGCAAATCGTTGGCTAATTAAATGAACTAATTATGTTAAATAATTAGAGAGGTGTTTGGCAACTAGTTGAGTTGGCATTCTGGTAATTGTATGAGCAATTTATTGATTCGCAATGTTGAAATTGGGGATGAGTTCATGGGGTTTTGGGGTTTGATAGATACTGAATAGTAACAATTAAGATAATGAACATAATTATGACAATGATAATGTTGTTAACAATGACAATACTATTAGAAATAAATGAGTAATATTTATAATAATGATAATGACTATTGTAATGCCAATGCTTATGACAATGATAATAATAATGATAATCCTAATGATTAGGCTAGCAACAATGAATGTTTATATGATGACAATGATAATACTAATGATCATGACAGTGACAATTATAATCAATACATACAAATCTAATGATGATTAATAGTAATGATAATAATCAAAATGATGGTGATGATGATGACAGTAATAATAACAATAATAATATTAAAGAAAATATTGATTGAAGATAATGCATTAAAAAAAGAGCTTAAATTAGATAACTATTACAAGAGCATAAAGCGAGTGCAGCTGATGAATTATTCAGTCATTATGCATACGTGTATATAAATATATGAGCTACTATATATTTCACAAACACACACACAAATATCTCTTTTTGTGTATGAAATTTCGTGGCATCGCTGCAGTCGCATAATTGACATGAAGCTCACGTTCTACGTTTTCTACGAACGCAACAAGCCGGCGACAAAATCTGAAAAAAAAAAAAATGTATATATATATATTTGTAAATGTAGTTATACACATATATTCAAAATAAAAATAAAAACAAAACAAAAAGAAGAAGAACAACGAAAAATAAATTGTGCAACGTTGAATCACGCGCTGTTCGATGACGCGAATAACAAACGAATGAACTAAAGTTATGGTAATGTTTATAGTTCTTGTTGTTGTTGCTGCTGCTGGTACTGTTGTTCTTGTTGTTGCAGTTGTTTACATTTGTATGGCTGTTGATGAGAGGTGTTGAATTGGGAATTGTATTGTAGCTTCCGTGGATAGTCAAAAAGTAATAAAACAAACAAACAAACAAAACAAAATGTAAATGAAAATGAGAATGAAAATAAAAATAAAATAATATAAATGACCCATGGGCGCAACGAGGGGCCACTCAACTAGCTCGAGGTCAAACTCACGCGTGACAAATTACACAAATGGGCATAAAGAGGCGCTGTTTAAAGTCGACAAGAGGCACTAGATTACTCTAGACTATAGCTGACAAAAACATGTGTACGCCCGTGTATAAGCATTTATGTATGTATATATGTATGTGTATTTATTCCCATATAATGTTTATGTCAGCGTCAGTTGAGGTCTCGCTGCTGCAATTAGTTGTAAATTGTTTTGAGCGCTGTTCCCATGCCCAGCACTTGACACTTGTTGGGGCAACAATTTCCACTAAATATCACCTTTTGTATATTCCAACGAAATCTCAAATAATGCCCAAATACAATTCCTTATAATTCAATCAAATATAACTGTTTATTTTTAGCATTGCGAAATTCATGCGAATCAGTGTAATCTATCAATCTATTTTTAAGACTCTGGCCATAGATAAAGAAATAACGGCTGACGCACACACTTATCCATCAAAATTTTGATTGATGTTTATCTAATGATTTCTATGCCTCATTCTATCTTGTATATATTGATAGCAGCTGTCTCATATGGGCTTTTTCTTGCATTTTTTCAGCACAAACATGTCTACCGATTCGAGTCGACGCATCCAGGTTCCAGATGAGCTCAAGGAGGTGCTTTTGCAGTTCTCGATTTCGTATTTGGTCGAACAGCCGCCGGATCTGATTGACTTTGCTGCCGATTACTTTAACAAACTTCAGGCTAATCGGCCTGCCACGGGCAGCACCGATAACACGGCCGATGATAATCAAAGCGTCAACTCACAGGAAGGCGATGGTAAGTCGGGGACGGATAATCAGAGTGCTAAGATTATGATCCTATGGATATGGTGCATAAGGACTGTTAATCGATTTTGTTATCGATTTCTGCGAGCAATTAAGTTTATGAATGCTATGTGTTATCAGCTTACTATAGTCAATCGAAATTTTATTGACTGTAACTGTATCATAGGCTCTTTCAATTTATTGATACTTTCAACGATAATCAATGATCGATAAATACGTTTGCTATCGTGTAATAGAGGATATTTTTAGCTTGGCACCATCTGCTATTAGCATTCTTTTGATCATTACCAAATATTAACTATACCAACTATTAGTAACTTGAGCGTTTTCCTGGGTATTATACCAAACATTTAAATGCCATTGAGCAAATATTTGTACACTTTGCACAACTAACTCAACTTAGTTGAGGAAAATCAATATTGTTTTTCTTTATAGTTTATCAACACGCCTCCTAGTGAATATGCTAACAAATGAGCAATGCGAGCATTGCGTGTCCCAAAAACAAGAACACCAAACACGAATTCCCTTTGGCGGGTCAACTATTTCCATGTCTCGTCAGGCTTGTGCGTCACTGCGAGCGCCGCATGTCGTGGCAAAGCTTTAAATTGCAGTCAACGTGGCACTATTTATAGTAGGCCAACTTTTTGGCTGGCTTTAACTGGGGCGGGGTGGTGTGGTGCGGTTGCGGGTGCGGCACCGCCTGCAATTTGACGTCAAAACGCGGCCACGAGCTTGGCCCTTGATTTTGGTCAAAACCCTGCACTAAATTCTAATTATAAAACTGAAAGTCTAAACAAAACAAAAACAAAGAAAAAACCGAAAAAAGTAACTGAGGAAACCATAAAAAAAAGGGAAACGAGCTTGCAAATTGAAAAGTTTTACTTTCAGCAACAGCCTGTGTTTATGTGTGTGTGAGTGTGTATGTGTGTTTGTATCTATATCTCATTATTTCTCATAATGCGACGCACGTGTGCAGACAATTAGCGCCAGCTGGTCACGCAGTCCAAGCGCTCCTTGCATCCATCTTGAGCGCTGCCGTACATCTTCTTTTGCTTTGTCTGTTAGCCAGCCGCTCAGTGCCACAGCAAATTAAATAATAATGTTGATAAAGTTGTCAGGAGCAAGTCCTTGACGGAGTGGGGTCCGCAGCTGCTCTGTGTGGCTCTGCGTGTTTATCTTCCGGTTAATCAAACACGCAGCTCCGCAGCTCAAGCAACGCCGTGTCAAGTGAACGAATGTGCTCTTTGCTTTGCTCTCCTCTCGCCACATCCTGGCCTGCGTTATCCTTTGGACTGCTGCACTTCTGCTCTCATTAGAAATCTATTAATTGCGCACACAGCTCGAGAGCTGTGTAAATAAACCAAGCTGCGCCAGATTGACAGCTTTAGATCTTCATGTTAAATATGCGGAATAATAGTTAGGCAAATGCAATTGATTGGAATTGACAATGATTACAAGTCGGATATAAATACGCAAAATTCATATAATAGAGGGTGATAGCCTGTTGTAAGCCTGAAATATATATTTATTAACAATTATTAATTATAATATAACGTTAATATATTTTTTGACTCTCTATGTAGATATTTTCCTTTTAAACTGTTAAAAAATCCACCCCGCTTTAAATTAAATGAATATACTGTAAAATAAAATGCATCCAATTGGAATACATTATTCATCCAACTGGAACGTAATCGAATTTACAGTAGAGTATTACCCTTTAATTGGAATGAATCTTACTTTTGAAAGTATTACTCCAATTAGAATGAAAACTGCAAAGGCAGATGAATTACTTAAAAAGAATGAATTTTATGTGTAGGTTTAAAATTCATTTAATTAGAATACATATCAATGCTTATCTATTTAAAGGTACAAATCTTATCACTCACAATTTTTACCCAAAAATTAAAGTTTTCATTCCCGCTACAAAAAAGAAATTCAAGCTCGAACATCTCTTCGATGACCTGTCAATTGCATCTACTATCTTAATACAAAAGATGTCGCACTGCGTGACATTTAATTGAAGTTTGCATTGGGGCTCGTTCGTCTCACTATCGCATTGACCTTTTTCTCATTTTTTTTTTTTTATATCTTTTCCTTGCCCGCCTGCCGAACAGTTGCTGTGTTTGGCTTTGCTCAGTGAAGCCCTCAGGAGTGCAGCTGAGCGTGAGAGCAGCACGCAAATAGCTCCGAGTGTATTCCATGTGCCACGCCCCCCATTGCAGCGCTTTGATGTCTATTTATGGTTAGGTTAGCTCGTTTTGATTTAAATATGCTTTAAGCGCGGCACGCACACACACTCACACGCAAATAGCTCGCCATTTGTATGAAAAATATATTAAGTATACGTACAGCAATTTTTGCGGGTGCCAAAATGTGGCTTAATAAGGTGTGCGGCTGTGTGTGCGTGAGTGCGTGTGTGTGTATGTGTGAGCAGTTTGTACATTTTATTAACGCTTACGTTGCCCACACACTCACTCACTCACAGCAAAGACAGCAGCAGCGCTAGAAAGAGAGAGCATGAGCATGAGGGAGACAGAGCGAGAGGTTAAAGCAATGAGCGCCCATTGAAGCATGCGGATGAGCAGCGGCTGCCCGACTGCCGCACGCTTCAACAGGCACACACGTAGCAAGGGTCGCCGTTATTTTATTTTTGTTGTTTATCTTTTCTTTTTTTTTTTTTTTGCATTTTAAGGGCAGTGGGCGGCGGTGCCACGCCCACGCGCTGACAAGGCTTTGGCATGGCAGTTACATTTTGAACATTATTGACATGCCAGCAGCGTTTGCAGCAGCACGGAAATTGTTGGACATGTTGTGTGTGCTATACGTATGTGTGTGTGTGTGTGTGTGTGTGTGTGTGTGCGCCTCCTGTTGCGCTTAATGATAAATATATATATAACTAACAACAATGCTCATGTTAATCGAGACAAAGCGCTGCGACCAGTGACAGCAGGAAAAGTTGAGAGTGAGAGAGATAGACAGATCTCTCGCTAGATATTCATAGCACACACAAGCCACGAACACAGAGACACTCACACACATACACACATAGACACTCACACATGTGGCTGCTTCAGTGACAGGCATTGCCTACTTACAGGCACTATTTCCGCCTTTCCTTCTGACAGCTTGTGTCGAACCAAAGGCTGCTGCGGTCTGAGCAGCGCCTTTAGTCGTTAGCCAAACGTCACGACGCGCACAAGAGACATAAACAGTCACTCACTCACTCAGATAGTCAGCAAGTCAGTCAGTCAGCCAGTTACTGTCATCGTCAAGCCATTAGCATTCACATTGCAAATCTCATTCGCGTCAGCATCGCGTCGCGTCTTCCCATTCCACGTAACCAAATTAAATGAAGTCAACTTTTATTTGCCATTTTTTAATTAAATTTGTTCGCGTGTGTGCGTGCTTGTGTGTGGCTATGCAACTATATTTGAGCCAAATTTAATTTATTACAATTTACTGCAACTTAACAAAAAACAAAAATTAAATGAATATATTCAACAGAACTTTATCATGAGCTGTCATGTTAACTTTATTTAACAAAATATTTTCGCCCACATTCCAAAGCAAATTGAAGTTGATAAACTGTTGACATTGCCATCACAATTTGCACTCAATTAAAAAGCCATAATACATACATATATAAATATTATATATAGTTCAATAATATGTGCTTAACTGCATAAATGAAACGTTTCAATGCACAATGAAATTTAAGCTTTCAATTAGGCCCAAGTTATGATGTTAGTTAAGGCTGGGAAAAGTTGTATTGAGTGTCGGCTCGATATAAGAGTTGGTAAAATGCAGAAGCAACCCACTTTTATTAGAAAAATTTATATATAATTCATTTTAAATTATTATTCCATATTATGTAAATGGAAAAGATGATCGAAAATTATAAGTTTCTTAAAGAAATCAAATCAACTTTTATACCTAGCATATTCTTTTGCTATATACACTTCTATAAAAATTCGAGTATTAAAGATTATTATTCTAGTTTATAGATTTCATACTTCATACTTCATACTTCAGATTTCACACATTAGTTAAGGTCAAAAGCTAAATGAGCTATATAGTTGGAAATAATGAGCTGCAACTAATACACTGAATAGGAAAAAAACAACAATTTGATTTACAAAATTAACGTCAAGAACTTGATCTATATACATTACAAAAAAAATATTTATATATTTCATACATGTCTCTATCTACTCACAATTCATATAATAGTATATATAAACCATTTTGAAAGCTTGAAACCCCAGCGACCTTTTTAATGTAATAAAAACTATAAATAGCCTTTTATCGATACAATTTTGTTATGTGCTTTGATGCTCAAAGTAGAAAGCAAATCAAATTAAATTCCATCAAATTGTTTGCTCTGTTCTGCCACAATACTAAACAGTGAGTGGCTTGGGGGGGCTCTCATATCCTGGTGTTATGGCCCCAACAGTCCGTTTGAAAATAATAGTTGAAAGTCAGTCAAGCGCTTTTCAAGAGCTGCAGTTGGTAGATATACATGAATATATGTGTGTGTGTGCGTCTGAATGTGTGTGTAAGTGCATCATTAGACGAGTTTTAGCGTCGCACACTTGACACGACTCTTAAACGCAGCCAATGGCAAAGCAAACAGCATATTTTTTGTTGTTTTTTTACTTCTTCGATATTGATAAAATTTTAAAGTGTGAAGTGCGCGTTGTGATTTCTCAGCTAAAACAAGTCTCGCTATCGCCATTGCAGTCGCAGTCGCAGTCGCAGTCGCCGTCGCAGTCGAGCTTCAAGTTTTGGCCAAGTGCATAAATATTTATTACGCATACGCAACGTGTGACAGCATATATATATACAGATATATATATACTCATATATATATATATATATATATATATATATATATATATATATATATATATATATTTATTTATTTATTGTATGCATTCGCGTTTTCACCTTGAGTTTTCAGTTGCAGTTTTCTAGCAAACGTGTTCGACGCACAACTGGTTTTTTTTTTTTTTTTTTTTTTTTTTTGTTTCTCTAGCGATATTTGCGAGGCTGCGAATTTTTTGTAACTGAAACGCACTGAAAAGCCATATAGAAATTTTATATTGATCTATTGAGTGCAGCGCAACATGTCGACGCAAGTGTCCAGTAATCTATTGGCGGGTAAGCTAAAAGAAAAATACCGAGAAAACAAATACGAAACACATAAAAAAAAAACAAGCTGCCAAATGCGAGTGCAAAAAACACATTTTGGTCAGACACGTCGCCAATAAAAATTATAGCTCCACATATGAAACTTGGACATGTGTTTGTTGTCTACGAGATCTACGAAAATGGCTAAGATGATGAACAGCTGCAAAAAAAAAAAGAAAAACAAAAAATACTCTGTGAATTACGTAAAAATTGAAACCCAAAGCAAATGCTACATTTTAAGCAGGTCTATAGGAGGACAGTGCAGGTGCTATACCATAGGGTAAATAGAGCTTGATGGAGATATTTGTAAAGTTTTGTAACATAATTACTTGGAGAGTTTTGTACAGCTTGAATACAAAGTCGATTTAGTGTTATTTATATAAAGCTTTACTCAGCTAACAGGCAGAGAAAAAGATGAACTCAATTCACAGGTAAAAATATCTAAAAAAAATTTTACAGGGCAAATACCTGTCATACTGGAATTCCTCGTCAAGTGCCTGATAAGCTTTGCTGAATTATTCATATACTCAGCCAATCAGCCAAGTACAGAAAAAAGGGTTCAAACCCTAATCAGAACTAGATTGAAATATACAGATATTATATTACGGTCGTCTCTTTAGATAAGTGGACTAATCAACAAGTCGCTTATTAAAATGATTGATGATCAAAGCAAAGCTAAATTATAGTAGACATATAAATGCTAGTTGAGTTCAATATAGATTATATCTAATTCTAATGACAAACTATGTAAACTGAGCCGTAATTCATAGCAGCCAATAGCTAACTAAAAACTAACATTAAAATTTGTTTATAATTGTATGCAAAAAAAAAAAAAAAAATAGAAAATACATAGTTAGAAATTATGCTCATGAAATGCGGAAAGTAATAAATATTATTAATATCCAGACAGCAACAACTACAACTGCAACAACAACCTGATCAATGCTCATAGTTAAATCATCCATAGCATATGTAGTAATAAAACATTATCTTTTGCCCTTTCTCTCTCTCTTTGCCCACCTCCATTCAGAGTGCATATGGAAAGTCTATTTGCTGGCAAAAATGAATAATTGGTGCAATTGGTTTAGTGGGTTTTGCTCTCTTAAAACCATCTGTTCAGTTGTTCATCTGAGCATCCGTTCAACTTTGTTTGCTTTGTCTCGTTTTCTGATGATGAATTGCAAGCATTTTACTGTTTACTGTTTGTGCATGCAGTCAAGCGAGTTGTGCTCGTTGTTGTTGTTCTTGTTGCTGTTGCTGTTGTTGATATATCATCAAAAGCTTAAGAAGTGCGAGAGTAGCCTATATACGAGCCAGACGAGAGACACAAAGCTGTAAAACTGCTAACTAGACGCAATTATAATGCAAGCAGATAGAAAGATACATACAGACATAGATACTTAGATACATTTTGTATCTGCAGCTGCACTTTGCCGACTGCTGTGTATTTTAGTGGCTGTGTGGGCTGCTGGATAGCCTCAACCGAATTAGATATCACACTGTCGACCCCTCTCTCTCTCTCCCTCTCTCTCTGCCTCTCCTGTGTACAATTCCATCTGCATCTCATGTCCCACAAAATATTCGATTTGCTGAGACAGATAGAAACAAAAAGAAAAAAGTGCTGACGCAAAACTTTATATGCATTCGATAGACAACACATACCCCGGCTGATTCAATGACTATGACAATGATGACAATGATGATGATGATGATGACTATGACGTTGACATGAGCTGAAGCGCATCCGGCATCAACAGGGGGTTGTCTGTTTCATTTCCCTCTCTACTCTCTCTCTCTCTGCGCTCTACCTTACCCACCGCGCACTCTGCTAGTCTTCATTCTTTCTCTCTCTGTGTGTGTCTCTATTAGCTATTTAATATAATTAATGTTCGCTGTGAAGCCAAAATGTGAAGCCCGCCTCTTCCCACAGCTGAGTGGTACATCCTGTGTGTACTTTAGTTAATGAGCACAAACATGAAAGCCAAACTGGGACACAGGACATTGTACTCAATAGCGACATAGTAACTGAAGCGCCCAGCCAGGCTAGCTAAATGAACTAAACAATTTTCATTAATTTCACACCATTCCACAAAAACGTTGTCGCTTTGACTATTCCCCAGTTTGAAAGAGAGCGTCGAATGATGATTAGAAAGTTGATCAGGCGCATGGTTAATTGTTTGAAATTCAGGTTAGTTTGAAAGTGCACGAAGCTTAAAAGTTTTTGAACATTAATGTAATTGGTTAAGCAAAATGTGTAACCTACAGAAATTCATCCCATTGTAACTGGAATTATTCACTTCCAATTTAAACTACAAAAATTCTTATTGGCAAGAGCTGATTTTTTAGTGCTATAAAATCAATAACAGGCTATCTATCGATTATTTCAATAAATTACTTATCGGCTTTCAGATTTATGAATTATGCTTCATTAAATTATGCATAGACCGACATTTAAGATATATGATTATAGTTAAACATATATTTTGTGCAATTTTATTTATTCCTAAGAGTTGGAAAATGATGAAACGGCTTATCGATAGTATCAATAACGAGCTCCTAGTTTTTCAAAACTAACATATCTAACGTTCGATAGTTTTGCTACTAAACGCCATAATTCAAAGTGTTAATAGGGAATTTCAAAAATTATAAATAATTTGCATATATTCTTAAAGAAATGTTATACGTTTCTCTTTTACTTACCACACTCACACAAAGATTAGGGATATTTCCCATTTAAATTACGAAATTATGCTAATTTCTATGTTTACTTCCAATTGCAGCGGAACCACCAGCAGTACAAAGCACACGTCGCAAATCAGTGTTCGCCGAGGCTTACGATCCGGAGGCGGATGATGATGATGATGGCGCAACTGCCGTATTCCCCAAGACAGATGAACAGCGCGCGCGTCTCATCGAGTCAGTGAAGAATGTGCTGCTCTTCCGTTCGCTCGAGAAGGAACAGGTGCTTACACATCCTTTCAATCTCTTGCCCGCCTTTAGTTTCCTTACTCCTCCATCTAAGACTCATAAATCTCTCGCATATTTTCGGTACAAATTCCACACACACACACACACACACACAAAACACGACCAGAGCACAAAAGCCAAAGAGTTGCTACCGCAAAACCGAATCACGTTGTATGCGGGTTAGCTGAGTAGGTGTAAGGAAGTGTGTGTGCTATTTGTGTTGTCCCCCATCCCCTTGTTTCCTCTCTCTGTCTTTGTCTAGCATCCCCTTAATGCCTTTTGGCTATTTTCTCTGCTTGTTGCAGATGAATCAAGTGCTGGATGCGATGTTCGAGCGAAAGGTGCAGCCGGGCGATTTCATCATACGCCAGGGTGATGATGGCGATAATTTTTATGTTATTGAATCGTGAGTACAGCCAACGAGAAATAAAATGCCAACAAATTGCGCTAACATCGTCTGTGAGCACGCTCCAATAAGTAGGCAGCATTCATTTGTGAACCGCAGACAGCGTGTGCGCAATTAATTTGCATTTGTAATATTCATGCAATTTACTCTCAATCTCTCTCTCTCTCTCTCTCTCTCTCTCTCTCTCTCTCTCTCTCTTTTACTAATCGATTCTCTCTCCCTCCATTTTACAGTGGCATCTATAAGGTCTATATAAATGATAAACACATTAGCACCTATACCCACACCGGACTATTTGGTGAATTAGCGCTGCTCTACAATATGCCCAGGTAAACATATATATTATTAAGTATCTTGTATCTTGTATCTGTTGGATAAACACTCGTCTATTTGTATCTGTTAATGTAGACTTGACTTATCTGCATTCAAAATGTTGACAGGCCCTGTCTACGCATGAAATGTGCTAATTTTGCAATATTTCCATCTCAATTTGACACTTGGCAATTTTCATAGCGTGAATGCCCAATAATTTAATTTAAGGGTTAACTAATTTTCTATGGAAGAATTGATGGAAAATTTCAATCATAACAAGTTTATTTTAACGAGCAATACATCAATGCTTCATTTAAAGTTGGTTTACAATGGTTTCCATATTCTAGAGATATGGCATTAGTTCTGCGAGTTGGTAAATCTCGTATAAAAACGGTTTGTTTGCAGCTGTTGCTCCTTGTAGCTATGCAACAATATATTCTTCGAAGCCAGGCAATGTTAAATAACAGTTGAGCCAATGTTAAGCGCATTCGAAATGTTAAACAAAAGATTCATTTGAGTGGTATTTTTAGCAAGCTCAAGCAGCACATTATACGGCCTAGAGACGGTCACTGACATTTTGCTCTACTCGCTCTACTTATTTCTGGGCGCCTTGTAGTTTAAAGCTTTTTCATATGTCTACTTCAATTTTAACATAGATAAGATAATTTAAAATTTAGAATATTTAATTTAATTTTTTCAAACTAATCATTTTTATAGAGCGGCTACCGTACAGGCTGAAACAGTTGGGCTACTCTGGGCCATGGATCGTCAGACATTCCGGCGCATATTGCTCAAGTCGGCGTTCAAGAAGCGAAAAATGTACGAGGAGCTGCTAAACAGTGTGCCCATGTTAAAGGCGCTGCAGGTGAGAATAGATCAAAGAGAAATATACTAAAATGTGATAATATAGAAAATACTAAACGTACACCTTCCCTTTATCGTTTTAGAACTACGAGCGTATGAATCTAGCCGATGCTTTGGTCACCAAGACCTACGAGGATGGCGAACGTATCATCAAGCAGGGTAAGATTGAATCTGGCTAATTAAGTCACGATTTCTGAAAAAATAAGCAAGTTGACGATTAATAGAAACAATTAATGATAATAATTAATAACTAACTAATAATTAATAATTATCAACTAATAGCTAATAACTAATAATTAATAAGTAATAAGTGCTAACTGATTAGTATTTATTACTTATTACTAACTAATGATCAATATCTAGTACTAACTACTAAACTTTAACTACTAAATTTTGATTTCTTACTACAATCTATAATCTGATGAGTAATAACTAAAAGCTAATTCTTAATGACAAAAAACTAACTTTTAGATTATATAATGTTCAATAATAGATTACTCGTAATTCACTTGCTGATGACTAATTAGTTGTTTTATTGTTGTATTGCCCAGGTGATGCTGCTGATGGCATGTACTTCATCGAGGAGGGCACTGTATCGGTGCGCATGGATCAGGATGATTCCGAAATCGAGATATCCCAGCTGGGCAAGGGTCAATACTTTGGTGAACTGGCCCTGGTGACACATCGGCCAAGGGCTGCTTCCGTTTACGCCACGGGCGGCACTGTAAAGCTCGCATGTAAGTCCCGCCTATAGCCTAACGGGCAATCCATTTAGCGCCTCGCTTCCAGCCAGCTATTTAATGCTTCTTATTTTTGTTTTTATTTTCCGTTTATTTGTTTATGCACTTATCCTGGCGCTCATTTGTGCACTTGTGTTGTGTTTTATGTTATGTTTTGTGTTCTGTCGTGTTGTGCGTAATGTGTGTGTAATTCTGTGTGTGTAGTTTTGGATGTTGTTTGCTTTGAGCGACTGCTGGGACGCTGCATTAACCTACTGCAGCGCGGCATATGCGACTATCGCTATCTGGAGCTCGATCTGCGCGCCTACTTTGACAGCCTGCAGTCCATCTAATTGGGCATTAGTTATTATCCAGTTGCTACCAAGAGGGGAAGAGGGGTGATGTATACCAAAACATGCCATGCAATACCTGTGTGTGCACACACTTGTTTAGCACTCGCACTTTTGTTAAATCACTTAATACTATATACATATACAAATACATATACAACATATATATATATATATTACATGTATATAAGAACACTGTTAAATCTAGTTGTAAGCCTTAATGCATATGTGAAAATCGCATAGAGAGGCGATAAGTTAGATAACAAAATTGAATGAGGTTAATGAGGAAGCTGCAGTAAGGAAAGGTGAAGAAAGAAGACAGTGCGAGTTTAAGAAAGAGAGAAAAGGAGCAAAAATGAGAGAAATACATAGAGAGGAAAATATAGCTAGAGAAGGTATAGAAAGCCGGGAGAATTAGAGAACTGAACTAGACACAAGTGCTAGAGGAGAAAGTTAGAGAAGAAATATATAGCCGGACGGGAGCTACGAAATAACAGAGGAACGATAAACGAACGATAAATAAAGGTACACAGGTTTAAGTACTAAGAAGAATCGAAATTGAATCAGAAATAAACTTAAGGTAAACTCCTTTTACACTTCCCAAGCATCACCTAGAAGAATCTTGCCTTACTTCACACTAAAAGCAATAGCATTTTATAGAATCCCTTTTAGGACACACACACAAAAACGTGTTGCACCTGTTTGACTCACCCCCCTTCTCCCTTGTTGTTATATCGTAGCTTATGCTTAAGTTTTAATTATAACTCCATTCCGTCCCAGTCCTGGACACAGATGCCTTTGAGCGTATCCTGGGCTTCCTCACCGACGTGCTCAAGCGCAATATTCTGATGTACGAACAGATGTTCACCGAAATGGCGCGCCGCAATACAAATCTGTGAAATATGCCGCACAAGCTCAGTCATAATGCTTCTTTGTTTTTGTTTTAAATAATATTAATATTATAACTGTGTTTGTAGGTTCGTAAGCCCGAAAAAAAAAAAGAAAATTTCTTGTGTAACGAAAGAAATGAAAAGACGAGTGTGGACGAGCTGTCATTAAAAATTTTACAGTTTCCGAGCAAATTTCAATTTATATGCAGTCGATTGGTATTATTTTATTTTTGTTGCACACACACATACCCACACACACCCTCGTACACACAGGCACACACATAGCTAGAAAAAGGCATACAAAACATGAAGTATACGCAACGTTTGCCTACCCCACAGCCTAAAAAGTCTGCTGCCGACACAGACAAGCAAAAGTATATTCCCGTATACAAATATATACATATATATGCATATATAAATAAAAGATTTCAATTGTGATTGGTAAGCGCAGCTCTATATAATATTTACGAGTTGAGGCGCCTGTGGTTGGGTATGCACATACATATAGAGGGCAGTGTGGATTCCTGTGGGTCAACTGCGGTCTTTGATCTCGGGGCATGCCGGCATAATTTTCTGTCTCGTATACTAATATAATTTATTAATTTATAATAATAATAAAAAAAAGGAAAGAAAGCATGTTTTATTTATTTGTGTGAATCTTCTGTCTATCGAACATTTCGTATATATTAATAATATTTACTTATTTATATTCGATTTTCTTCAAACAGTCCTCGATGTGAGAGCATTTGAGCGTCTGCTCGGTCCCTGCATGGATATTATGAAGCGCAACATTGATGACTATGAATCGCAGCTGGTTAAAATATTCGGCAGCAAAAATAATATCACCGATACACGATAAAAAGTCTGAAACAACAAACAACAACCACAGAACAACAACAATAACAACAACAGCTACCAGGCTAATGGGTTTTTTTAAAAGGACTCTGCACAAAACTAAACGAAGGCATGCACACAACAGCAACAACTACAACAAAATCAATTACCAATACAAGCGCAAACCAAACACACACACACACACACATTGGACCCTATATATAAATATAAAAGTTAAAGAAAAAGGATTTAAATTGATTTAATTATAATTTAAGCTGAGGCTGGTTAATGAAATACGAAAAACAATGATAATGATAATACGCTAATGATAATGATAATCATAATGAGTTGAGCACTCAAAAACACAAACACACACACACACACAACTATTGTATGTATGTATTAGCAATTGTAATTTAATATATTTAATTGGATAAAACAAAGCAACTAAAATCGAAAGGAAATTTTTGCCTACTTTGTGTGTCCTTAGCTCAAATTAAGGACGTGTTAAGAGTGCATAGTTAATAGTCTTGTTTTTTTCTTAATTTTAAACTATTATTATTATTATTATTATTATTATTATTATTATACTAATTTGTTATTGCTTGATTTACGCATAATTTAGCACAATATATAGCAGAAGAAAAACAAAAAGAAAACTATGCAAAGTCCCTTATTTTAAAATAAGTTAATAGAAAATCATAAAACTTTGCAACTTACATATATATATATCAAAGGAAACACATCATGCAAAAAAGTTTATATCTACAAAATACAAATTTAAATACTTATATATATATATATATATATACATAAAGTAACAAAACAAAGAACCCCAGACACATCTAATTTATTTATAAAATAAAGTAAAACAAAAAGAAAGAAGGGAATCATTGTACTAGTCTATATATATACATATATATAATTGAGACACGCGAAAATCGTAATCCCCAAAATTCTTTACTACAAAAATGTAAAAAAAAAAAAGATTAACGAAGCTTTGTTTTTGGTCTTCCACCTAAGAATTGAAAGCTCTGAAAAGGTATAGCGAATCGAAATACGATCTCAATATAAGCAAAAAGAATTTCCAAATTATCTACAAATCATTTCTCAATTTCAATTGGCTCTACAAAAGGCTAAAGGCACAATCAATCTATGTTGCATGGGATCAAAACTTAGAAAGAAAATAAAAATTCGATATATATATATATATCTAGCGGAGCATAAGTACATATTTTGCAGATCTGCTCAGCACATTTATAAATAAATCTTTTCTTTTCTTTTGTTGGGCTAGAGAGGAGTGTACTTCTTATAGAGTATCGTAGATAGAGCGAAGCAAAGCAATATAAAAAAAAAAAAACAAGGCCTAGATGTGTACTTAGTAGAGTTTTTATTTTTATTTTCTATTATTAATTTGTTAACTATCCCAAATACACAAACCCTACCCTATTCTAAACTCTACTCTAACCACAAAAATACACATGTATATGTATATATATGTATATCTATACACCGAATGAGCTTAATATATATACTATATATATATATATATATATATATTTGGTAGACCCAAAACTCCAGTACTTTATAATGTTTACTTTATTGTTTATAAAATGCGTGACTAAAACAAATCCTAGACCGTTAATCAAATAACAAATTACTAATGTACTTTGTAGTTATGTAAAAGCATATTATAAACAATTTAACTGGCATACCAACAGTCGACAAGGTGTTCACAAATAAAAACCATAAATATCTAAAGAAAACCTAAAAATATATGAATGCAAATATCATAAATTTAAAAAGAAAAAAATAAAAACTTGTTAAATGTGACATAAAAGTAAAACAGAAACAAAAAAAAGTAAAAATAAAGAATGAAATGAAAGCAAAAAGAAAATCAACAAAAAATATGTTTAATCCTACATAATTGGTGTCTAGTCTATGTTCAAGACTTTAAAAGCAACAAATTCTTGAAAACAAAAGCATATTTAATAATTATATCAAAAAAGAAAAGCAAAAGCAAAAACACATAATAGAAACTAATTATATAAGAAAAGCTGAAAATGCTGGACATTTTCTTCCATATAGACAACATAACACGCATAAACACAAATACGCACACACACGCACACTTACACACACTCACACAACAAAACGTTAAGCAAAGCTCAAAGAATTTTCACAGAACGCGCTAAAATAAAAATAAAAATAAATAATTAAAAACTATTTGTATTTTAATTGTTGTGTTGTAATTATTGCATAAAGCGTATTTAATTATGTATGTGTAACAAAAAAAAAAAAAAATCAAACAAAAAAAAAACAATATGTATGTATGTATTTAATGAGCATATTTAAAGTGTAGACACTGCAAAAACCAACAAAAAAACAAAACCAAAAAAAAAAAAAAAAGAAGAAAAACAAACAAATTTAAGAAAAACAAAAAGAGAAAAATTCATATGAAAATTTGATTGGAAATTTGCAATAGGCGTTTATAAATTAAATTTAATCAATTGAAGCGCCACACAGAAGCTGCAAACAAACAAAAAACTAGAAACAAAACTAAAAATCGAGAGAAAAACCAAATGAATATGAATTTGTTTGCTTTTAATTTAACCAAACGCCAAAATTTGAATTTTTGTGTCATTTAAGAGCAGCAACAATTGGCATGGATATATCGTATATAGCATACTAAGTTATAGGATTGTGAAACTATTCCTCAGATATCACGTTATGTGCCACAAAACAACCGTGTGTGCAGAGGCAAATCATGACGAAATGAATACAAGTTTAATAAAGCGATAAAACACAAAATTCGAGTTTATTTTTTAATTTTTTGTTGATGTATGAAGGGTAAAGGCAACCTCTTGCATGGTGTTCAGAAATAGATTACAGGGTATTCCTGTAGACAGACCCATATATAAAACTAATACAGCTTCATTCCTAATTTACACCAAATTGAATTCGCTAGCTATATGCCTCTAGTATTTCTTTTACAGGGGATTTAGTAGTCAACCATACATTGACAGTTTTTTTAATTCAATTCCATTTATAAACTCTCCCAAGATATTCGACAAATGAGCTTATTTGACATCATTTGACCCAGACTCCTTTCTACACAGATTATTTATCAGTTAAGATCCTAAATACTATTACTCTTATTCAGAAGTAAATTTCCAATTGGAAATCGTTGGCAGCTTCTGCCCCCATATTTTAGCAAATGGTAAATGCTCCGACTTTATAATTTTTATTCACTTAAAAACGTAGCTCCAAATACACTTATAATTTTACGATGTTTAATATATGTATGTATTTATCATTATATGTATGTGTATATGTGTATTGTTTATTATCATTATAATGTATATAGAACTTCGATATCGGTCGCTCAGCTAACACCGACAGTGCACGAATGATAAGTGAGGCTAATCTTTTCATGGATTTATGCGCCAATTACAAAAAATTCAATCTGATCCCAGTAAATGGTATCAAGATTTTCAAATTTTTATCATTATATGCTGATTCTTTTGTAGTTGTAGTTGTTACTGTTGCTATGGATGTTGTTGCTGTCTTATGCATGTGCTCCTCTTGTTATTAGTGTTGCTATTGCTGATGGTGATGCTTATGCAGATGCTGCTGCTGGCCTCTTCTGCCTCCAGGAGCCGAATGTTGATTTAAAATTGTTTTGTTGCTTGGGTTTTGTTAGTTTCGTTTTTTGTTGTTCATTTGTAGGAGGAAAAATTCATTTAAAAAATTGTGTTTCTTGTTGTCTTGATTAAAACTAATAATCTAACTGTAAAGATCATCATCGCCATTGTCGCCCGGCGAGTTAACTGGCATATTGGTGCCAGACCCTGAGGTGTTGCCGGCGTTACCGGGGAATCTGCAAATAACCAAAATGAAGCGATATTAAATAACCAATAATATGAGGTAATTACTGGCATGTACCTGAAGTTCTGGCCAAAGCCGCGCGACTGTTGTAAAGTCTGAGCAAACATCTCGTATTTGCGTATGTCATTGTCCGAAACGGAGCGACGGGCAAACTTCATTGCCTCCTCAAAATGAGCGCGTGTTATCTCCGGCACTGGATCATCCTCGTCCATCTGTGAAATTATAATTATAAATACAAATATTTGCAATGATTTCTTTGACTTCAACTCACATCCATTGCAGAGTTCTGGTTCTCGGCACGATCCTTTTCGCGGCGTATCTCAGCCTCGATAGCCTGGCGAATGGCCAGCTTGCAAGCACGCTGGCAAATCTCGGTCAAATCGGCACCCGAGAAGCCCTGTGTCACCTTGGCAATATACGTCAAGTCCACTTCTTTAGCCAACGGCGATTTGCGCAAATTGGCCTTCAATATAGCCTCGCGAGACTTGTCGTCGGGCAATGGAATATAGATCAATTGATCCAAGCGACCCGGACGCAAGATAGCCGGATCGATAATGTCTGGCCGATTGGTGGCACCAATAATGAACACATTCTTCTTGGCTCCCATGCCGTCCATTTCGGTTAGAATCTGATTGATCACACGATCGGCAGCACCACCAGCATCGCCGACATTACCACCACGTGCCTTGGCAATCGAGTCCAACTCATCGAAGAAGAGCACACATGGTGCAGCAGAGCGAGCCTTGTCGAAAATGTCACGCACATTGGCCTCAGATTCACCGAACCACATAGTCAACAATTCGGGTCCCTTGACCGAAATAAAGTTCGCCTGGCACTCGTTAGCAATAGCCTTGGCCAGAAGAGTCTTACCACAGCCAGGTGGTCCGTAGAAGAGAACGCCACGGCTGGGCTGCATGCCAAACTTAAGGAACTTGTCGGGATGCTCGACTGGATACTGAACGAGCTCCTGGAGCTCCTTCTTCACATTCTCCAAGCCGCCAATATCCGTCCAGGTGGTGTTGGGCACCTCCACAACCGTTTCACGCAACGCCGATGGGCTGGACTTGGTCATCGCATAGCGGAAGTTCTCCATGGTCACAGCCAGCGAAGCCAGCACTTCGGCATCAATCTTATCATCCTCCAGATCAATCAGATCCATCTTCTCACGGATTTGTTGAAGAGCTGCCTCAGAGCAAAGCGAAGCCAAATCGGCACCCACATGACCATGAGTCTCGGCGGCAATTTGCTCGAGGTCAACATCCTCGTGCAACTTCATGTTCTTGGTATGTATCCGCAACACCTCCAGACGACCGGTGGCATCGGGAATGCCAATATCGATCTCACGATCGAAACGACCAAAGCGACGCAGCGCTGGATCAATGGAATTGGGGCGATTGGTAGCTGCCATGACAATCAAATGGGAGCTCTTCTTCATGCCGTCCATCAGTGTCAACAGCTGCGAGACAATACGACGCTCCACCTCGCCGTGGGTCTTGTCACGCTTAGGCGCAATTGCGTCGATTTCATCAATGAATATGATAGCTGGCGAATTCTTTTCGGCCTCCTCGAATGCCTTACGCAGATTCGACTCGGATTCACCGGCCAGCTTAGACATGATCTCCGGTCCGTTGATCAAAAAGAAGAACGCGCCAGTCTCATTGGCAACAGCGCGTGCAATTAGCGTCTTACCAGTACCGGGTGGACCGTACATGAGAATACCACGCGGCGGCTTCACACCAATTGCCTTGAATAGCGACGGATGCCGCAAAGG